AAAATATCTGTTACTGTATGACCGATATTAGTGAATGTCAACAATCGCATGGTCGCTTTGGTAAATGCTCAGAAATAGCTATTAAAATTCATTATTTCTTTCGTACACCAGCAAATTTCAATATTCAGCGTACTTAATATTTTTCTTAAAAATGTCTAAATGCAAATAAATTTTTGTTAAGATTAATTTTTATAATTTCTCTGTAACACGTGGAAATATCAATATTCAGAGTCCGTTGATATGATGAATGTTGAATATAATATTTTCTAAAATATAGCTAGATATTGATAGAATTTCGTGCAATCACCAAAACGACTATGTGATTATCAGCAAGTGTGTAAAATACTATTTATCACTGGATTAAAAAATTAAATGGGAACGAAAAAATTTTATTATTCTTGGATTTGTATTCAAGGTAAATCAGATAGGTTTTTTGATACTTGTTAAGCGATTTCATGATTCTTACGTGATTTAGATCACCTTATAGAATCGCATTCCCAGCACACTTGGACTCATTTGAAATGCACGTTGAAGAAATATTATTCAAATCATTAAAATTGAATAACAACTTTAAAATTTATTATTCCGGTTTATTAAAAAAGGTGAAGTTTTCAATATGGTTCTATTTAAATAAAGTCGCATTATTGATCATAAGCAGAAAGAAGAGAAATTATAGGTAAGTAGGTACTTTATTTACGTCGCACTAGAGCTGCGCAACGGGCTATTGGCGACGGTCAGGGAAACATGTCTGAGGTTGATCCGAAGACATACCATCGTAATTTTGATCCTCTGCAGAGGGGATGACTGCTCTCCTTTGGTAGCTGGACGACCTGTGAGTGAAGTCGAGCGCTTTATGGTAAAACAGTTTCACGAGGACGGGCACCATCGGTCCATACGCAGGATGATCAAAGTGGTCACCCACCCGCTTACTGACCGCAGCCAGTGATGCGGTGTTTTACTGGGAACCGTGTCTTTACGATCAGTCCACTGCAGGACAGAAAAATAAGAGAAATCGTGGAAAGCTAAAAGTATATTTAATACATGTCTAAATAATAAAGGGGGATAATCAAAAACTTGGTTCAATATTTACAGGCTTCTTGTGAAAGCCTAAAAAACTAGTGGAGTTTCTAAAATTATACAGTGAAACTTCGTGGATAGACCACCTCTCTGTAACAACCTCTTCTATTTGCGAACACTTTTGGGAGGTACTGAGCTTTTTCCATAGACTTTCTGTTGAAGATGGGGAGACCATCAAAACCTTCTACAGTGACCGAAAAAACGTCTGCACCAAATGCGGAAAAGATCAAATAAGGAGACACGAAAATATATCAAAACAAAGAATATTAACAAAACGAATAAGTAGATAAATGTAATTGTATAAGAAGTTAAATGTAATCAAAATATTTGTGAGTGGTTTTTAGTTAAGAGAGCTCTTTTTGATCTCTGAAAGAGATTGACAACCTCATGTTGCAGTCAGAATGCACTAAAGACAATGGTATAAATCAGTGATCTCCAACCCCCGGTCCACGAACCGGTACCGGTCCATGGATCAAATGGTACCGGGTCGCCCATTTCATTGAAACTGAATTTAAATTCCCAGGTTCATACCCCAAATTAAAAATGTCTGTGTTCCATTAAAATTTTATTTTAAGAAAATCGCCCCGAAGGTAATTACATAATTTTTTTAATGTTTGTAATGTATCATTGTCTCTGATTACCCCCAGATGTAACCGTTTCATTGCAAAGAAACAAGCTCAGGGTTCTCATTGATTTAACGTTGTAGTAAGTTAAAATGTTAAATCACTTAATATTTATTTTCTGGTATAACTGTATTTTATTTTGAAGGCATGTTTACATACAATTAAATTAAAATTAATAAATCAATATAATCTGAAATATAAACAATCAACCCCCTCCCCCCTCCAGCGGGCTGCGCTAAAATTATCAAACGTTGGCAGATCCACGGTAATAAAAAGGTTGGGGAACACTGGATAAATTATTTATTTTTATAGAGTTGAAAGTTAAAGTAGAAAAAGAAAAGTTACTTTAGAAAGAACTAAGCATCGCGAACAAACAAACCTCTTCCAAAACTAAATTTTAACACATAAAATTAAGCGCAAACTTAAACAAAAAACACAATTGATTATTTATTTAAAATAGTTCTATCATTCGTAATTGGTAAATTTGTTTCTGCGCATAATTATTAAGTATTGACGCTAAATTTTATTCATCTATCCAGTTTTCATGACGTCAACACAAATGACACTTACTCACCGAGAAAAATAACACGCAGTAAAATTTAAATAACTTGTGAAAATTGATATATTTGTCAATGAAGGTAACCTCTAAGAAAGACAAACCTCTATTAAAGACCATTTTATTGTGGAACGGAGAGTGGTCGCTCACGAGAGGTTTCATTGTATTCGAAAACTCACTGCTTTGCTTAGTTCAAACGTGATTTTTTTTTTTTTTTAAGAATTGGAAAGCTTAAAAATTCTTTTAGAAACTTTATCAGTACTAGTTTTTGAATTTTTTCTTGATGCTCTAGTAAGCCTAAATATTGACATACATATTTGTCTAATAAACTTAACAAGCATTTAATAATCAGAATTCGTCGCATTCTTCTGAAATACCCTGTCAAAAATTTTTGTAAAATTATACAGCTGGGACTTATATCTTTTATGATGAAAATTCTTGAAGTATAGTATAGTATATAGTATAGTATATAGTATAGTATAGTATAGTATAGTATATAGTATAGTATAGTATAGTATAGTATAGTACAGTATAGTATTTATATATTATATTATACTATATATATATATTATATTATACTATATAGTATAGTATGAGGTAGTGTAGTGCCCTACAGTAGCAATGCAGTTTGTAATGCTTATAACTTTCTTTTTTTTCCGTTCTCAATGTTTCGACAGCCCATGGAGATCCCTTTTATTCTCCTATATTTTTCTCCAGACATTCCTTCTTTTAGCAACTGTATTTCAATAGTTTACTTTCAACGTGTTGATATTCCTTTTGACACAACCGATTCACTCATGACAAAGTCTTTTTTCTGAATATTTTTCTCCCACGGTTCTAAGCCAAAAAAAAATCCCTTTGCATCCACTATCTTTCATTCTTTCCAGTCAGGTTCTTTAAATATTTTGCCCCGCTTAGAGTTTTTAATTTTTATTTATATTCTCTGTTTACATCTCAACAATGGAAAGCAAATCGAAAGTTCCTGTATCCATATACAATTAAAAACTTTAGGAACCATTAATGTTTCTCGAATGTTTGAAACTAAATGCATTCGCACACAAAAACATGTGAATCTTCCTGCTTTATTCTTAGACTTCAAGGTAAACAAAAGTGCCTAGTCTAGCAGAAAAATTTCTATTTTCCTTGAATATATGTATCTGAAATTAATGTCTCACCGAATCTGTATTGACACACAGAATTCGTAATTTCACATTCTCTGAAAGCAATTATGTGAGCATAGCTCCTTGCCCCAAGGAATATTTCTATCAAATTAGGTTCTATTTCATTAGGTTCTATATCATATTTCTATCAAATTAGGTTTAAATACTAAACACTTTTTAAACACTTTTTCAACTATATCATTAAATTTCACAGTTATTTCAGTTATATCCTTAAATTTCAATGAATCATTTCAACACAATTTTATTATTAAAATTTAATTAATAATTTCAGTTCTAAGTGATTTTCCAAAAGCATACTTTAAATTATTCTGTATGGAGTGTTAAAGAATGACCGATCTCAATGTGTAATTTTTAGAACCTTTGAAGAATATGAAGAAAAAAAAGCATACTAGAAACTTCGCAAATTAATATTTAAGGAAAAAAAACAACATCAAAAGAGGATGCATTGTTAACTAAAATAATTAAAACCTGTTTGTGTTAAGGAGGAAGTTGAGAGGATACGAAAAGCGAACACTCAAGTTTCATCTAGCAACCAAACTGGTTTTAATAATTCTTATCTTGTTTTTATAAATTGTGATTCACTACCTTTCTATAACATTTTCGTTTTTTTTCCCTTCGCTATAATTCTAATTTTTGAGTATTTATATTCTCTTCACTTCATTTGATTGGGATTCTAAAAATATAGACTAAAGGCGGTGGTTATAGAACATCTTGCACATTTAAGAAAAACTATATTAATATTGATGAAACAATATTGATGATTTATAGTATGAAGATGAAATATTTTATAACTGGGCTTAAAAATAATAAAAACAGAAAATCTGAGTCTAAAAGAAACGCGGAATGGACAGTTAAGACCAATTACGATCATGTTTCATTTGCACATTTTTAAAACTAATGAGACTACGTTCATCTAATTTATACTTACCATTACCATTATATTTGTTATCATTTCAATCAATTTAACACTAGATTGCTCGAAAAAATCATTTTGACTGCTTTTTAATTTCAATTAGAAAAACAATAACGTATATAATGACGCAATTTCTTAGAATTTTGTGACTTTTCATACAACATATAATTTTTTTATTGTTAATATTTACTAATAACTTGTTGTATAGCAGTAAATAATACTAAAAATATTAAAAATTAATTTTAAACAAATTTCTTTACGCATTCTCAATCCAGTCATTTTGACTACTTTTGGGCAGTATACTAAGTTTCAGTCTTTCTAGTGTTAAAGATGAGCTAGTATATTTTTTTAAATTTCACAAGGGACAAAATTGTGTACTTTATCATTTTTTTTTCGATTCATGCACACCAATGAGATGCATTTAGCAAATTCTGTATGATAGAACCCCCAGTTGTTCAGTGGGATTTGTAAACCTGCCTTATGACTTATTAGAAATGTAACAAAGCATAATATAACCTGCCTTATTAGAAATATAACAAAGGTAGGAAGAAATATTCAGAATTACTAAATGAAATAAAAATGGCTATCTGAAAACTTTGCACGATTTTTCTGTTACAAAAATCAAAGAGAATTATTTATTTTCAAAACAGTTACTCAATAAATGAAATATTTTATTTATATAGAGATTATCACAGACGTGTTTTGAATCACAATTTTATCTGCTGAGATTAGTCATATTTCATATCACAGTTTTATCTCCTGAATATTAATCATGTTAAGGTTAACAATAAGTTTAATTGTTATGACAAAATAAACCATAAAACGCACTAAAAGATATTTCCAAATGGGAAGCTAGATCAACTAAAATCAACTGGTTTCATTTTTTCAACTACATCGTCAATGATTTCCATTTCTCTTTTCATAACATTAAGGAGTTTTCTCAACTTATCAGAATGCATGGATTTCGAACCTTGTTTGATGTATGTCCAAGAATCATACATGGTGAGGCAGTTGAGCATTATTCTGCCTGCCACTGGGAGCGAAGTCAGCCTCTGCTGCTCCAATGGCAATGCAGGAATGCTTTGCAAAACTAGTGATTGCATCTGCCCGAACTCCATTTGCAATGTCATCCTGTTCATGTCAAGCTGAATGGGATGTTTTCGAAAAATTATCCTGAAAATAAATTAACTCGTAAAATACAATATCATTATGGTAAATTAAAAAAACGAATCCTCCTGAAACTAAAGTTCTTCTGACTATACATAGATATGTTAAATGATGCATGTAATGTTTCATCCAGTTTCAAGGAACTGTTTGCTTACAAGTATATAACGAACTAATAAGACGTGAAGTACATGGAAAAGAACCATACATTGAATACTCACCTAGTTTCTGATATGTACAACAAATGTTTAATGTGGGCACATTTTTCACGCAGCGCATATACCAGTGGTAAACCAACTCAGTTCATATGTATGTTCAGTATGGCACGTTTTTATCAATAATGCTTGTCATAATAGCAATAAAGCATTCCAACACTGTTGTTAATATTCGGAATACATAAACACTTGTGATTCCTCTTCCTTTGATTGTCCTTCACACTTGATATTGTGAAGGACAATGCTTACGTTCTCCCACTACCATATAGTGTTAAGGATTAAGTTTCCGTTCCCCCAATGCCAAATTGTGGACAATAAAGCTAATGCGTCTCCAATGCCGAACTCTGAGGTATAAAGCTATGTTTTCCTAATGATAAATTGTAAAGAATAAGCTTATATTCCCTCAATGCAAACAACTCTGCAAAAACGCGTCACTATAGAACGTATACACTATTGAACGTATGGACAGAACTATGGTTTATCATTGGGGTGGTCAAAGGCGCACACATTAAATTTGTAGTATGAATCAGAAAATTGGTGAGTGTGTGCATTTTTCCAAGTAACATCCGTCGTTGAACGACGCATACTAGTATACAAACAGTCCTCTGAAACAAGGTAAATTGTTTAGGCTAACCCTGTCGTGTTAAGCCACACTTTTTCTAAAGTCATTTTTATATAAAACTGATCTGTTCCTACCAGTTAAGTACTGTAAGTTAGTTAATTTTCAAGAATATCCACTAGATAACACAACATCACCACACACAGAAACATCTTATTGTGTAACATGAAAATCGTAGTGTTTTCGCCAAAATTGCCCTTTAAAAACACTCTCCTAAACAATTTATTATTATATCACCCCGACCCTCCAGTTGTTATAATGAAATACACGTGATAAAAATTTTAAGTAGAGGGTTTAGACGCACAAGAATCCTATTTGGCAACATTTGTGGCACAAAACAGAGAGAAAAATTTTGATTGATAAACAGACTCCCGCTTCTGATCTTTAGTCAATTTCTTAAATTTAACATTCATTCTTTGCAGTCAGTTGTTTTATATCTTTAATTAAAAATCCTGAATAACTTACTTAGTCTTAGTCTTGCTACATGAATTCTTAGAACCTTTACCGTAGTTTTATCGTTAGTTTTTTAATACAATTGTTTACAATCGAATAGAATGCAATCGAATCTAAAAATTTATGTAATTGTATAAAACTGGGCAAATGTGATTGTATACAATTGCTTTTATTTGCAAAGCAATATTTGCCTGTCAGTATTTTTATTTTACTTTATTTCTTTATATTTAGTGATTTCAGGAAAAATAGGAGCAGACGAAATACTTAATAAAATCAGAAAATAAAAAAAATTCACTTTTTCTTAATTACATTTTAGTTGTTTCGTGTTTACATACTGTTAGCAAGAAGCGCACTTTACAAAAAAAAGCATCTTAGTTTTTTTTTTCCTTTTTTTTAAACTTTTAAAATTTTGCGATGATTTGTTATTGATGTTTGCTTTTTTGTGAGTTTAAAAATCCTAATGAAATTAAATAACACAGCAAAGTATAACCAAATAAAACAGCATAAAGTAAACAGTATTTTGAATGCTTGTTGTCAATGCAATAGTTAACTCGTTAACGGCCTCGTAATTAATGCGAAGGACATTAAAAACTAAAGCAAATTTAACATTATTAAATGCTAACAATAAAACAAATATTACATATACCTATTCCACCACAAACTTGCAACGTGACTACGAGAAAACAGCTGAAGGCTATAAAGGAAATCTTTATTTTCCAACAATTCAGCATCCTTTTTGACGTTCGACACAAGTGCTGATTCAAACACTTTAATGTACTCTTCCAATTCTTTCGAAGCTTCTTGAACCTGCAAAGCAACATCCTTATCAATCCCGTAAGGAAACATGTCTTGGACAGCAAAGTCTAAATCTTTATTCTCTTCAAACCAGCGAACAACTGATTCAAACAACTTGTAATCCTCTTCTCTACTGTCGCATATTTCATCAAGAAGTTGTTTAGATGAAGCAACTTCCCAAACTGTAGAAATAAGTCCACACAAACCGCAAACAGAAGCAGCATTAAAAGCATACTTTGCCCATGATGAATCAGGATGCAAAAGTAAGCCACCAACTGAGCCTGTAGCATCAGCAGTGGATGCTATCAATCTAACAAATGTACTCCATTTGAAGTTTCTGTCTAGCTTTTTAATGTAGTTATCTAACTTTTCAATTAGAGGCACCCTTAACTCTTTCCAATCCTCAACTCTTTTTAAAAATATTCCATATCTCTCATTCACCAGGGGGATTAAATCCTGGAGGATTCTTTTCGTTTTAGCACTCTTCTCGCCATCGACGTGTTTTTTGGATTCGTTGGAAAAATCAACAGCTATCTGTCTCAGATCTTTTCCCAACTTTGCCAAATCTTCATTTGACTTTGGGTCATAACTAAAGCTCCTAACAGAGTTCTTAACATTATCTTTTTTAATTCGACTCACAACATCTGAGATGGTTCTGGGACGAAAGATTTCATCAGAAAATGGTACCTACATGAAAGAAAAAATATTATTTATCTCCTAAATAGAAAAGGAATCGAAAGTAATATTGTAATTGAGTATGAGTAGCCTAAATGCAAATATAAATATAAAATCAGTAAACAGATTTCTATAAAAAATGGTTTGAGAGAGTTGTTATTACGAACAGTATTACAAAATCCGTTCTCTAAAATTTTATTTTTAAAAATTAAATATTATAATATTTGATAATAAGCTAATATTTTGTTATTTACAAGCTACAACAAGAGCATGTTCATATTTAAGCTTAAAAAAACTTGATACTATGATATAAATTAACTCTTCAAAAGCGTAAGAAGTTTAGAAAATTTTATTCCACCTTTTGAATTATAATTTTTTCCTTTTATTTTAAAAAAAAAAGCTGTTCTATAGGTGTCTAGATGATGCTTATATAGTATAAAATTGAAAATCTGTCTATCCCTGTTTACCTGTATGTCATCCAGTTCTAGAAAATATAAAAAGAAAAAAAAAACTCAGCACTTGTCCTTTGAGTTAAATTTAAAATTACAAAAGGAAGTTATCAAGGGTTAGGGTTATAATAAAATAAATTATTTTAAAGGGTTTTAAACTTTTTTTATTGTTTTTCGAAGAAAAATTTTATTTCACAACTAGAAAAAAATGACTGCGCATCATTCATGGAGAATTCTGTAAAGGAAAATATTTCTGAAAAAATAGCAAAATTTCATCAAAATAGCTTCGAAACAAATTAGAAACATTTGAAAGCCTCATGCATTCGAAATAGCATATACTAAATTTTGAACCGAAAGCATAGTCTCAAACATTGATGTGGGTGAGAGAGAGACGTTCATTGGCTGCCGATAAGTTTCGAACCCAAGACCACCAAAACCGTTGTAGGATGCTCTAACCACCATAGTTATGCAACCTTGTATATGGAGAATAAGGAAATTTTATATATTCCATTCGCCTTAAAGTATTTAAGTTATAGCGAAATGAGCAAAAAGTGAAATTAAAATTGCCAATCTCCTGACTAAGCTATTAGGATCATATTTTCCAAATTGCAACCCTTTGAAATTATACCATTGAAATTGGAAATTTGTTTGTCATGATGTGCTATTAATGCAGCTACTATATAAAATTTCCTAATTCTCCCTGGACTAGGTGGTACAACTATAATGTTTAGATCAAATTACGAGCTCAGAGGTCCTTGGTTCGAGTGCTGCCGGCAGCCGATCAACCCTCTCTCACACATTTTCCCCTTCATATCACCTTTGAGAAAAAACCTTTTGCTCAAAAATGAGTACATGCTGTTTCAATTTTGAATACATGGGGTTTTCAAATTCGACTGTTATTTGTTTTGGAGCTATTTTAACACATTTTTGCTGAATTTTGAGAAACTCTTTCTAACAGTATGAGGAGCAAAGGGAACGGAGTGTGATTAAAAACTGTAAGTGACAAAAATAACAAGCTTCACGTACATATTCATCCTCATCATAGTTGGCCAGACAGCCCAATGTGGGCCAATGCCTTCCTTTAAAGATTTCTCCATGAAGACTTCCGATTTATCTTTCATTCCCAATTTCTTTTCATTAATTGCAAGAAAATCAGACTCCACCGAATCAGCCCATCTCAACAGCGGCCTTCACCGCTTTGTTGTTCCAGTGGGTCTAAAAAGCAATATCTTTTTTATTGTATTGTCATCACTCATTCAAATCACGTAGGCCATCCACTTCCTTCTATTTATTTTTGTGTATTTAATAATATCAGGTTGTTTATAAATCTTGTACAGTTCAAAGTTAAATCTCCTTCTCCAGTTATTGTTTCCATTTATACCCCCAAGTATACCAGGGGCCTCCATCAGGGGGAAGGTGGGCGCACGATGCGCCCACTTAAAGCTTGGGGGGGGGGTTACATTAAATAAAACGAATAGTTTGGGGGAGAATTTAGACGAGAGAATTTTTTTTAAGTACATAAACAAAAGAAGCATTGTCATATTATGAGCAAGCAAAGTAGCACTATTTCGAACAAGCTAACATGGAAGGAGGAAGTTAGCAAATTTTTTTTGGGGGGATGAATGCGCCCAAGAGCTTGGGGGGGATGGGGGCCACTGAAGTATACTCCGCAAAATCTTTCTCTCAAATATTGAGATGCAATTTTCCTCCAGTTTTGTAATTGTCCAAGCTTCAGAAACATAAGTCAAGACAAGCCTGACAAGAACTTTGCAAATTACAAACTACTCGTACATAAGAATACATGTGATAAACATGTCAGAGGCAGTGATGAAAATTTGGGAGCTCTTCCGCAAAATGTTTGCAGTAATGACCTAGAGAGGCATGCCAAGAATAAATTTTTTAATTCGGAAATATCATTACTAAATCCCTAAAGATTTCAAAATATTAAGTTTGGCATGATTACTCTCAAAAATATTGTTTTTCTTTTTTTCCCTATGACTCCTTTTAGGTCTTTCGGAATCATTTTCCACCCCTATATCGCCATCACTTCTGAAATACGTGAGTGAGATATAGTAAAATTTAAAGAAAAATTTTAAAACTGCACAACAATATTATTTTCAAAAGAAGATACAATGAATTTTTAAAAAAATTAGCGAACAAATATAATAACAAGACAAGTAAAAAAAAGAGTGCATATACCTCAAAATTTGGTGATTGTGGTGGCGTAGACCCTTCGGCATTCATTTCTGTTGTCTTTCATACAATGAGAAGTTTTTTTTTATTGAAAAGTGAAAATTGCATTGTGTAGAACATTCATCTCTCTTTTTCAATAATTATCAGTTGCTGATAAGCCCGTTGCATTACATACATCAGTACAGGTGTTGATAAAATATGCAATTGAAAGCGTAGGGGGGAAATGAGATATATATCGTTATAGTGGTATGATCTATTTTTGGAAGTAAAACAAAAGCATTCTGATAAAAAGAATTTTAGGTTCATCAAAATGTTTTATTGAATTTAAATTTCTTAAATTATTCCATATTTAAACCTGGATCAAAAATATTTTGTTAGGGCAGCTCCAATTTATTGCATTTTTTGGCAATAATTGTCCAAAATAATATTTTCTCTGATTTGTGATATGCTCTTTTGTTTTCAATTTCTCTAACTTTTTTAAATCGAACTTAATTCGGGATAGAACATACTTTTAATTAGCTAAGTACTGGTTTCTGCAATATGTATTATGCTATTTTCTTTGAAATATCGGAAACTTAAGTATTAAATTATTTTGAATTTTGTAATCATTTTTCAGAATGAAAAATTTAAACGATAAAGAGAACAGAATGAATAATTTAAACGATATTTACAAAATAAAACGTAATAATTTTTTAAATTATACCAAATTTTTCCAAGCAATCAAACATTCCAAATGCATCCCATTGCATCTGCATAAGATCTTAATCAACATGATCATAAAGTTGATAATTAAAATTTGTACACCCAAAATAACTTAGAATTTCGTTTTTTTTTTTTTTTTTTTTTTTTTTTTTTTTTTTTTTTTTTTTTTTTTGTATTAAGTTACGATCTTAACCGTTTGAAGGATAGAACTTGAATAAAACTTAAGATAGAAATACTGATAAAGTTGAAATACTGATGCATCTTTTGCAATAAATCGTTCCAGGTAGTCATTTTTTATGAGGAGTTGTGGAAAATTTTACTATGTGGATGAACATTTAATATCTTTCTACTGTTGTTTACGAATTAAAGTTGTTGTTTATACATTAAAGAAGTGATGTGAAACGTCGTCATCAAAGGCATTGCAATTCAAAATGTTCTAAAGCAATAAGATTTACAAATTTACAATGCAAAAACTGTATAATACTTCTCCGAATTTGACGAGAAAAAATTGTATTTTATTACAAGTTAATACAGAATCGAGCTGTCATACACACTTTAAAAGGTGTTGTTAAATCTAAACCCAAATGAATGAGAAGGCTTACACCAAGATCAAATGCATTCACTCCATTCATGAATTCATTATTTAAAAAGATATTTTAGATGGTTCATTTTCATAAAACTTGCACTTTTGATATCACATGACTTTAAGTTCTTTTAATTACTGAAATAAAAGTCAAAATAACATTTTTATGCATTCAAATTAATTTATTATATATTTTTAATAAATATAGATGCACGGAAATTAGTATCTTATACATAATGCCTGCGGTATACCTTTTTAATATGTCTGATACAGCTTAATGTCCCAGCTTTCTTTGTCTCTTATTTTACAGAAATTAAATCAATTATTCATTGAAATTAATTTTAATTTATCTAGTTGGGAAAATTATGTTACTTGTAATATACAGCACAGCTTATCAAATTTACAGTTTTAAAATTACTTTTGAGTAACCATTATATTTTAATGTTGTCCGAGGATTATGGTCTTTTTTGTTGCCATAAATAGTGTATTAAATCATTTCTGTTGACTTTACAAAAATGAGCCCTGATGATCTTATTTCGGATAAGGTAGCCATTTTAAAAGTCATTTTATTTGATGTATTCTTAAAAAAAATAAAGCATTGACAAAGGTAAGGATATTTTATTCACTTACCATCATAATGTTTTAATGTTTATTTGACTTTTTTAATGGCAAAATCAAAATACGTTTTTCAGTTTTACGTATGTAAACATTTCCTTTTTTTCGATTGAACCTCTTCAAGTAAATTGACATGCAGTTTCTTATGGACAAGAATCATCACAATAGCTGCTAAAAGTTTTAAAAGTTAATATTCGAATATTTATTTTTTTAAGAATTTTTTTTTTCTAAATGCCTGCTCATTTTGAAAATGATTCATACATGCATGCAATTTAGGTTCTTGCTTTATAGTGTATCGTAAAAATAACTTTACTGACTAATTATAAATTTTAGAGTAACTAAATAACAAAAATTGGGGCGACTACTGTACCAAGTAGTATAAAAATCACGCTTGGTCTTTCAATAACACTTGGCGTAGTGAAACACCAAAGATAGTTAATGTTTCACTACACCGTTTTTGGGTAAAGTAGTTGAATTCATTTTTGGTGTTGAGATACGATTAATACAATGAGCTCTTAAAAGTGCCGTCAATAAATTCCGGAAAAAATTTTTAAATTTTGTGAATAACCGCAGTTATTTAAAATATATATATATATTTTTAATGGCAGGCAGTTAGGATGTATTGTCCCATTGGCCAGGAGTGCCAGAACTGCTACTCTCTTCTCGTTACCCAGTGGGAACCTGTGGCGGAGCCACGGCGGTGGAGCAGCGTCGCCCACGTCACGATACAGCAACATGCAACATAAGAATTCATGGATTATTTTTAGAATTAATCAGGTGCTGTAAATTATAAACATTTTTTGTAGCGGTTTTTAACTTTTTTTAAATTTATATATTTTTAAGAAAATAAAATTTAAAATAAAACAAACTAATTAAAAATAAAAGTATATGAATCATTTTTGCATAAATATAGGTCTTTCATAATGATAAATAACTGTATAGCGCAAAGTGATAAAAAAAATTCTACTTAAGATGAGGCATACAAAATAATCTGTACTATGTAATTTGTATTTTAGCAAATATATAAGTTGGTCATAACAACAGGCTTTTTTTTCTTAATGAGATAAGCAAATAAGAAATTGATTGAAGTTCGACTTAAAATTTAACATATTACATTCCTTTAATTATTTAGTTTTTAAATTGAAATTAATAATGTCAAAAAAAAATTTTAGAGAAATTACAGTGTCTTAAAATTCGTCTTTTTATTGTTTATTACATTTTCTTTATTTTGCTAGCTATTTTAGAAAATATTATCGAATTTTTTTCATTAAATTTTGTTTTAGAGCACACAAAAAACATGAAGTCAAAGTTAAATCTGTACTAAATTTTTATCTAGTAACTTCTTTTATTTAAATTACTTAAAAGAGTTTTAACGAAGCTCCCACGTCATCTCGGGATTTTAGGAGAAATTTCTGATTTTCGTTTTTTAATGTTTGTTCTTAACAAACTTTAAGTTGATAGAGTGTCATTATTATTCAGCACTATACCGTTGGAATTTGAAAGCTTGCCTCAATTTGATTTGGAGAAATAAGATTTTCAGATAATAGATGGCTTTTTAAAAGCGTATAACATAAATTGTGCGGATAGCAATTTTATACTTTACAGTTGAATGTTTTTAGATGTTTTAAAATTTACTATTTTGTTATTAAAATGGATTAAACTAATTTATCTCATGCTAAAAATTTCTTATAACGTTAGTTACGCAAAAACAAAGATATATATTAAAAATCTAGAAACAGACAAGGGTGCAATAATAAACTATTTTTCAAAAAATGCTCAGTACAAAATTACATAGTTTTGAGACTTAAAACCCATTAAAATTCTAAAACGCTATATAACGTGCTATATAATTTCAATTATGATTTAAGGCAATTTTGCATTTTACATATTGTGAAAGATACAGCCTAGAAGAGTAAATGATAATTATTAGCTCATTTGTAAACTTAAAATTAAGATTAAAAGCAAGTTTTTTTTTCTTTATATCTTACACACTTACCTTCATGGTTCATCTAAATAATGAATTAATATTTAATTTAAATTAGAAATCTGGTTAAGTTATAGTCATTTTTATAAAAAGTTTGTACCGCTTTTTCATTTTTTCTGGAGAAATTTTCTTCCATATAAGTTCAATTTAGTAAAACTTGGTGCATGAAATTTTCTTAACCAAATAATTTAGAATTTGAAGAAAAAAATAAAAAATTACTTCATTTATATTTTATGATTGCTTAATGCGTGCTTCTATATGTGGCAGGACTAGTAATTAGAAATTAATGAACAGTAAAGAATGAAATCATTTTGTAGAAGAAATTAATGATTTTTAAAATTTTTGTATCAGTTTCTTTAATATTCGAAATCTTCGTTAGAATTAGAGTACAAAAATAATGCATCCCCTCCCAGCTCAAATGTATAGATCTTATAATATTTAGGCCTAGTGTTTGAATGAAAGGAAGTTCTGAGAGAAAAATAATGCTTCAACAAAATTTAGCAGACATTTTATTTTCACTTAGTGAATACATATCTTTCCTTATCAAAAAAGGAATGAATCAAATGTCAGTTATAAATGTATCAACATAAATAAAAAATATAAATGTGCACATTAGGTAACATTATTCACAAAATTGTAAAAATACACAAAAGATTCAAATCAATTTCTTTTTTATTGAAAACAACAATCATGCACTTTCATTTTTAAAAAAAAGAGGGAAAAAATGTAATTAATAAAAACTTAAATTCATATACTTACTATAATTAAAACAAATGAAATTTAAGTCATATTCACATAAAACTAGGACAAGTACTAGTAGTCACAATATATTTGAATTCGAATCTTTCGCACTAGATAACAATAGCTTCAGCAGTCAACTTTTATAAAGATGTAAACTACTACAAAAAAAAGGAAGGAACTCTGGTTCTTAATACGAAATGCACATCACAGCTGCAAAGTCAAAAACTTGCTTTTTCATTTTAAGTCAAATAAAATGTTCATTTAACTCTTAATTCAGAAACAAATAAATTTCAATTTATTATATACAATTTTCTTCTCTTTACTAATTATGACAATTTGAAAACACTGATTCCAACCCATCTTGCATTCAAACATGTTATCCAATTAAAATAAAAACACAGAAGGAACCTACATATAATACCACATCTAATGTGGAAAATAGACTTTTATTATAGAGAATATTATAAGTGGATTAAGAGTGTACTCTTTTAGTAAGCAACTCCCCCCTTTCTCAGATTAAAGGCTGTTTTCCA